TGTGTTTTAACTTCCATTTATACAATTGCCTATTTGTTGGAGAGATTTTGTTTAACAATTTATAATTTAGTTGTGCATACTTTCTATTTTTTCCTCCTTTATTTTTCTCATCCAGACTTTAGACCAGTTTATTTTCTCTCCAATAAATAGATCCCATTTATTTTCAACATAGGGTGGGATAAACGTTTCATCGACAAAACATGAATAAATTTCTTTTATTTTCATTTTACCTATACTATTATATTCATCAGTCATCACGGAATCGTCATTGCCAATACCATTGTAATGTCTTATGACGTACAACCACTCTTTTGGAATAGCTTGTATCAACGAGGCGTATTCACTAAGCCAGTTTCTTTTATCAACTAACTTATTTAAAATTTCATTGAACGTCATTATTCGATTTTTTATAACAATATTCTTGATTCGTTTAAAATTCGAATCTATCCATGCCCTGAACCATAGTGATTTGTTATTGTGACAAATCAATTTGTTTCCCCAAAGATTCTGTTGAAGGATTAAATAACATTACTTTATTAGTATAGTTGAACGAGTAGACAATGTCTGACACAAGTAACAAAAACAAGAACCAGACTTATAACGCTTACCGTATGCGCTCTCATGGATTTGAAACAATACATCGATCAATCGACGAATCGGTATTGAGTTAGATTTTCGTCGAAAACTTAAAAAAGAACTAAAATTGGAAAGTAGAATATATGATGATCCAGAAATGTGGTGATGAATTTACTGCCTTTCTTCCGGTCCGAAACTGGCAAATATATTTTCCTTTGATTTTCTTTTTGACATATAAATCCTAAAAGGTCGGCTGATATTTAGAGGCCTCTTTAATAAATGAAATAATGTGATGCTTTTATTAGAGAAGTCTCTTTATGGGGCTTAGGGAGTTAAGCTGGTTTTAGTCGTAAGAAAAAATCATGCTGTCATAGGAATTGTACCCAGAACCCTGGGATTAAAAGTCAAGTATCTTAACCACTAAGCTATTTACTTCTCAAAAGCCTCAAGCGTTGTAACTTTAGAAAATTATTTTAAAATTATAAACTATAAAAACTACAGGAGGTCCACAATAAGGCTACACAAGAGAGAATCAGTTGGCAAATAATATTTGTGGAAGTAAAACCTCCCGCTGTGAGATTAGACAGGGCCGTTGGAACCGCACCGACCCAACCGGCTTTGGCCCAACCACTTTTTCCTAATTATAATCAAGATAGCTGTTAACACTGTTAAATTATATAATAATCATCAAAGGAAGGCAAGTACAGTGTAAATACATAAAGGACATAATAATACATCGTGTAGCAAAAATCTCAACGAATGTAGTCCTGTAAATAAATGAATACAGAAATTGTGTAATAAAATTCCTCTGGCGGGCTCGAACCTGCGACCTCTCGCTGTCAAGGCGAGCGTCATAACCATTAGACCACGGATGCTTCATGGTTGAACAGATTCAAATATATATATACGGATACCTATAAAATAATTATAAGAATTTATTATTAATGTTCGCATCACATTGTCTTTTTACGTTATATTTAAACAAAAATCCACTATGCGCTTGTTTATGTATTGCCTATGTACATTTTAATTTTTGACAATACATTTAATTTAGTACGGTAATTAAGATTGATTTTTAAAAATGTTTAGAGGTATAAATATATAATAATTATTTATTAATGCCCTGAAATAGGCCCATGACAGGTACTGTAAGTGAAAATATAATTGTACCTGCTGTATGTTACTCGAAACTACGGTATTCATTAATTTGTAGGCCTATTTCTAAACACTGTATATGCATATTGCAATGCATCCTGTATATTACGGTCATAGTGGTTTTGTTTACGAAACCAGTGAGTGTTTATTCATGTGTGCCACGTTAATTAAAATATACGTTTAAAGCCGGGTACCCAGTGCGTGCGACAGCAACGCGACGACGAATGCACGCGACGGCGCGGACCCAACGGATCGCTTTTTAAATAAAGATCCGTTCAGACTGTCACTGAAAATCAGCAGACGGCGTTGCGTCGTCTATCGTTCGCCGGAAGCAGAGGTGGATTCGTCCTGCGACGGTCGTACAATGAGTGCCCGGTTCACATTATCGCGACCTAACACTACGACCGTACCGACCAGCGGTCGTATCCGACTGGAAGTAGGACCTGCCCTCTTGTCATTTATTGGTGGAAAGTAATAATGGCCACTTTAGCCAAATGATTACGACACGTGTGAGAGCGACTACGATTAGACTGACGACCAGTACCGACCACAATAATTGTTTTAACATGTTGAAAACTCCGCGACCATGCACAACCTCTGCCTTGTCACGAGCAAGTTGCTCTTGGCTGCTATCACACTATCACGACCCCGCCACGACGGTGTCGGTCGTGTACCGATCGCAGTGTAGGTCGTGATAGTGTGAGAGTAGCTTAGAGTATGCAAATAATATTGTTCAATGGTCTTAAAGTAAATGATTATGTAGATTCATGTTAAACAGGAAATGGAACGTCTATATATATATTGGATTTTGTTGTTCTATCGATGTTTTCGTTTAGAAACGACAGAACAGGGTAATATAACTAGTACTGTATGTTGATTGTTTTATTTCTTATAGTACGATGTGAATGATAAAGGCTTAATATGTATAATATAGGCAAAATGTTAATGCGTTGGAATACGTTGTTGTTGTTTGGTTTCTCCTACACAGTATTCTGTTCATAAACACCGTGACAATATTCACAACACATGTTTTATTTAATTGCAAACCTATATTGTTTGTATTTCACAATACACTGCACATCGTGGGGTCACTGTTATTCGTTGTATTATAATGTATTAAATCAGGAATGGCCATCAAAATTGGTCGGAGGGCCAAAGCGAATTTTTGATTTAACACCGAGTGCCGCACCCAAACTTTGATGTTTCCAGTGTGCTTCAAGAAGACCTCCAAGCACTGGTACACCACTTTATTCTCAGTTTTAATGTTACTTTTTACATATAATCGGTGTCGGACTGTAAAAAACGAAGTGTTTTCTAGCCAATGTTGCTTGGCGGGGCCGCACACATAAGGTTTTTAATTCATTTTCGAGGGCCGCATTACGCCCACCTGTGTATTCATAAAAACAAATGTTTTATTTAATTATGCCTGCATCTTTACTTTCATAAATAACATTTTTCTAGGCCTCAAATGATGTTAAGCGGGGAATGGTTTTACTATAGATCACAAAAAAGAGTAATTTTGTTAACTGTATACCTATAAAGCTATGGATTAAGTATGCATATATGCCGAAAAGTGTCTTGAATTACTTACTTTCTTTTCAGAATGAAAAACTGATCACAATACTTCTAATATTCAATGGCATCATGATGCTCACGTACATCTATCAAGATAAACTACTTTATGATAGTAATGTAAGTGTTCTCAAAAAAACGAAGACCTTAACGAGAAGCACAAACGCCTTTCAAAACAGTGATGCCATCGAAAAACTCTTGTGGTGGAACGCAGGTCCGAGTAAGAGACATAAGTCACCTAGCACTACAAACATTCCTTATGCAATTGATGAGAGTGACGCAAGATACTATAACTTAAGGAATAATAAAGTAAGTATTCCTATAGTACAACTGAAGCCAGGCCTGTCTTGAGTGAACAATCACTTACCGATTGCTAAATAATGGGGAGGGGTGTGAATGGTGGAACAAGAGTCGTAGCCTTTATTTTTTACCCGCCCCACCCCTTCCTTTTTGGAAGGGGTGGGGCGCCCAAAACGCCTCAGACGTTATTTCTAGGCGACATCTCTGGATCCGCTCCTGGTTAGGTGGCATGAGAATAACATTATAACCATTAAACATAATAATAATAATAATAATAATAATAATAATAATAATAATAATAATAATAATAATAATAATAA